AAAAAAAAAAAAAAAAAAAGAATTTGTAAGTTTTGAGTTATGTAGAATGTTTAATTGCTAATAAAACCATGACTTTTTCGGTTTTTACAATTATATGTACCACTTTTAAACTTGACAAACACATACACCACTTTTGCTTTTGCAATTCTTTTGGGTCTGAGAATGATTTCTTCGGTTGGAGAAGAATTACTGTTTGATGTGAAAGTTACTGCAAAATGAGTTTGAGAATGAGTTTTTCCGTTGAAGATGGTCTAAAGACGCAAGTACTGCAAAAATGGTTCAAAACCACTTACATTATTAATTTAAATTTTGTGTGCTCCAATGTAGAACTCAATTGGACTCCCCTAAATGTCGGGCTTCACACACACTACAGAGAAAAACTCAACCTTGAAAGAGTTCTGAACAGCGGTTTAAGTGATATTGAAGCACCTCAATGTATAGCAATCAACAATCCATATATACCCTGAAGTTCTGCAGTAGATAATACCTCAAACAAGTGTAACAACTAAATATATTATCACTAATGAAATATTCAATATTTTTTTCAGGAAAATGGAAAATAATGAGTAAAAACTATACTTTTATATAATGGAACTTTAGTTTGCACTATCTTACATGACAACAGCCACTATTTTGGCCATAAATATATGTGTAAAAATAAATAAACAATAGGGTTTGTAACAATCAGAATTTCAAGAAAGAAACAAACAGATAGATGATAGGCACCAGCCAAAAGTGCAAACCCCGATTTCTATCAAGCAGGCTCTTCAATCACCTGGAACAACAAGCATAAGATCCCCCAGTTTGCTTTGATCCATCGGTGTCGTTACTGACAAGGGATACTCTATTGACGGATAATTCTGCTTTGTAAGAGTCAGAACTCAACACCTTCCTGCTGACATTATTATAAATCTCGCGAATAACAATTTCAAAAGCTTTTTTAACATTTGTCGAATCCAATGCAGAAGTCTCCACGAAAAACAATCCTTCAGATTCTGCCAGGGTTTTTCCTTCTTCCACACTCACATCCCTGATATTTTCTAAATCGCATTTGTTTCCCACAAGCATCCTTGTTACAGTTGTATCAGAATGAGCTGTGCACGACAAGCATATCATGTCATCAGAAGATGCACAAAAGACGTTTGGAGTAAAGCCCAAATGGCATAGAATGTGTCAAATATCAAGTTTACTGCACTACAACCTTCAAGACAACACATGGATACAAGCCAACATTTATAACAAATGACGTAAATGCATCACAATGACGTTAAGGGTATGTTTCGCACAGGAAAGCATGCAACTATGAAGCAATGAAACAAAATAAAATCAGCTGTTATGAACGGGTGAGGTTTCAATCATTTTGGATATCATAACCAAGATACTCGCTTTTGGCTTTCGCTGTGGCCATAAGAGAAGCAAGAAGTTGAGACATCCTGCAGGAAAGGATTTCCCCCATAGAAGTGTCAAGGGAGGACGGGTTGCAACTGGAACATTTCGACGAAAGCAGCTCTAGAGTCAGTTTTGCGTACTTTTGCAGCTATGTAAAACGAAAAAAGTATGATTTAGATTGGCGTCTATGAGTGGAAATCGACTTGCCAACTTTTGCAGCTATACGAGAAGGAACTTTCTCATTTAACGGGTGAGGTTTCAATCATTTTGGATATCATAACCAATATACTTTCAGCTGCAGATATTTGAGCTATATAGTTCTTGAGACGAGACATGTATTTTCATGTTCCTTTCACAAGGTTCCACACGGTATCAGATTCCCAATACAATCATTATTATGGCTTCATTTGGATACGTTATAGGGATTTAAGAATAATATATTAATGGAGCTTTCCAGTGATATCAGAATGCTACTGCTTTTCAATTCTCACACCCTGGGGTTTAAACTGCTTCTTGTGCCATAATAAGGGGGATTACAGATTCAAATACAGCAAGCCTAAACAAATAATAAAGTGTCTTGGAAATATGCGTAAAATTCCTAAGACAACAATCTTGACCAATGTTTATTTGTTGGCTTGTGTATGTCGCTTACTGTTACGTAATCATCAGTGCCTTAAATTGCTATAAAGTATTCAAAGTTTTTAGTCCTAGAAAAAAATTAGCTTCTTATCCACATATCTAAATGAGACCCAGTTTTTAGTCCTAAAAAAAATTAGCTCCTTTTCAAATGAGACCATATCTAAGTATACCCTAATATTTTGTATGGAGAACAATACAACCCAGTTTTTAAATTGATTGATTTCCACATTTGACGGCATCTTGCTAGAAAAGATGTTAGACCACTCTGGCTCTCATGCAAATTAGTTGTTACATGTGAATTATGGATTCTAATAATTTTTTAGTTCCAAATTTTAAATTAATTATGTTTAATTATTCAGGGTTAGAATAAAATGATAGGCCAAGCTTTTTATTTTTTCAAATCCTTATTGTTTATTTATTTTAGTAGAAATTGAGTTTCTTAGACACTAAAACATAATTAGAAGTTAGCAAAAATCGATTGATTCGTCACGGAAGTTATAGTAAGATCAGTGAAAACTGGTGCTTGGGCTTTAGGATTTTGAATTTTTTCTTTCAATACCTTATATAAAGTATGTTTTGATTAGATTTCTTATGCCCATAAACCCTTGAGTCTAGCATTAGGTCATGTTTGCGAATGCTTAAAAGGCACTAGGGGTGAGCAAAACCGAGCCGAAACCAGAAAACCGAACCGAACCGAGCGATTCGGTGCGGTTTTTGATAGGCTCGGTTAACGGTGCGGTTTGGATTTTGGAAAACCACAGATGTTTCAGTGCGGTTCTGTTTTTTGTCCGAAAGGTGCGGTTTTAACCGAATCGCACCAAATATCATAAAACGTCTTTTAATTTACTTTTACATTTAAAACTTAAAAAAAAAAAAAATTCTATTCTCTTTAGACTTTTCGTTTCTGCCCTAATTTTCGTACTCTCATTCTCTCAAGCTCTCTCAAAAACTCAACCCCGCAGCTGTTCCCTTTTTCTGCTCTGTTTTTCTTTTTTTTTTTCCCTCTATTTCACTGGCAGGTGAACAGTTATTGCAGCAGGGGCTGTTCTAGTGTTATGTTTCAAGCTCACTTGCTTGCTGCTGTTTGAGTGAAGATGCTCATCTGTTTTATTTATTTATCAATTTATGGATGTTGTTGGATATTGTTATGGATACTTATGCATCTAACAAACATTATTTATGTTTGTGCTGGTGCTGCTATGTGATATTTTGAGTGCTGATAGTGTTGGACTTATTAATTATGGTTGTTTAGTTTTGTAATGGCATAATGGATGCTTAGATCTAGCTTAATTTGTATGGTTTGTATATTAAGTTGTAGTAATCATATTTTAATTTCGGTTAACAGAAATTTTCAGTTCGGTTTGGTTCGGCTTTCCTTTCTCGTGCAGTCTGGTTCGGTGAAGAAATTCACCATTTTCGGTTTTTTATCGAACCGCACCGATGCTCACCCCTAAAAGGCACGATATGCAAAGTTATTTGGCCTATTGTGCTTGTTCGGAGTCTAAGAAAAAGTCCGGCAGATTTACTAGGGCCATGTATTTATTCAAGTGTGGAGAGGAAAGTACTCTAGTGGTTGTTGCCAAGGACTATCAATATGATTCTCCCAAATCAATGAGTTCTATCTCATCTCTTGGTTTAAGCTTGCTTTCCATGTCGTATCGGGCAAGGCAAAAGGGGCCAAACGAGGGCTCCTCAGATTATTAGATCCCATGAGCTATCTAAGTGTGGAGAGAGAAGTAATCTTGTCAAGGAGAGTCTAATATCAATCTAATCATTTATCAAGGTTACTGATTTTTCTGTTGTACCCTCCATAATTAATCTAGTAAGAACATTTTAGTAATTTTACTGTTTTATCTTACTATTCGATGATTGTACATTATCTGAGGCTAATAAGACACTGCAAACACCTAAAAAAACTTTGTCTTCTCCATTATGCATAGTGATTACCTAAACAAGAATTAATACACTTATGTTGTAATGGTTCTCAAACATGGGTTTAGTAGAAAGACAACTGATCTCAAGTTAAACTTCAAGTGAAGCTTATGAAACGAAATGTGACTTGTCATTCACGACAATGTTTCTGTCACTGCAAATCCACCGTTCATTCAAAGAGAATATATATCTCTGGCATATGAATTTCATCCTTTGTGAACTATTCATGGACTAGTCTCATGGTATATCCTATTGACCTTCTAAACTGAAAACAACTAATAAGGTCTCAATTAACTAAGGGGGGCATCCTCATTCGTGGAATGCGGATTGACTATAAATAGGCGTCCACAATCTCACTGCCCCATTGGAGATAATTTTTGAAAGGTTAATTATATATGTTTTAGTGTTACACATAGTAAAAAAAACCGGAAAGAGTAGTTCAGGCCCACCCAAACAAGTCATAACTATTTGGAATATCCCACATTTTCCACACACTAAAGGACACTAAAATGGTCAGATCTGGCTTTATTTTCTTCTCTGCCCAGGCTGTAATTCATTGACAGAAATACTAGTTCTTGCCGGGCATTAGCTCCAATTTTCTCAAGCAGAACTCTGAAACTCAAATGACACCACTCTGAAAGATATCTCCTAACGAATCGAAACAAGAACCGTAAGCATTAACATAAATCAAACTCTCCCTTCCAACCCAAACACAGCTACTTTCATACGCCGATTTCAAATCCAATTCCAATCAATACTGTTGTGATGCGAAACAAGAAATCGAGAAAAAGGGTGGGTGTGAAAGAGAAAGAAAATAACATACTCTTGAGCTCATCGAGCCATCTGGGTATACTATCGAAAGTTGACCTTCTGCTGATGTCGTAGACGACGAGAGCGCCGAATGCGCCGCGGTAGTAGGCGGAGGTGACGGCGCGGAACCTCTCCTGGCCGGCGGTGTCCCAAATTTGAGCCTTGACTTCCTTGGCGTCGATTTCGAGGGTTTGGGTCTGGAACTCGACGCCGATGGTGGCTTTGGAGTGCAAGTTGAACTCGTTTCTGGCGTAGCGGGAGAGCAGGTTGGATTTACCCACGGCTGAGTCGCCGATTATGACGATCTTGAACAAGTACTCCTCTCCCTCCTCGTCTGAAGAAGAAGCCATTGATGAGAAGCTCGACGATGATAGATAAGCTAATTTTAAAGGGGGATCACACAGCACAACAGGCTTTCACGACAGCTATGCGAGCACTGGGGGTTAATAAATATGAGGTGTGCTATGTCCGGGAGGTGGGCCCATCGGCGCTGCAAATATTGTAACCGTTATTTTATCATGTAAATCGAGTAAATTATATAGTACTAGTAAATAAATATTAATTTAATACTTATAAACTAATTTTGAATATTGATATTAATTTGTATGTTTTTTTTTATATTTTTATGATTAATGATTGTTCAATATATAATTCATTTGTTCGTCTCACTCGTTATTAACGTTATTTTAGAGTTCATGTTTATAGTCAGTGAACATAAAAATATAACATATTCAAACATTATCAAGAAATAATAATAAAAAATATAGTTATCTCTCTTCGTCTACCCTTACACATACCGTATTACATTATATTATTTTAAATCCTAAAGAGTGATGGTAAAGTAGAAACTTTGTGTGGCAAATATTATAAATCGACACTTAATAACGAAAGTAGTGTGTATTATCTGAAAATTGTAAAATTTACTAATCACGTCAAAATTGTTTTGTTGATTGTTTATAAATTTTAAAAAAGTGCAATTTATAAAAATATTTTCAGTTTTCTTTCTAATCCAAACATTTCATATGACAGTTCGATACATGTTGATTTATCATCATAACTTTTAACAATATACAGTATGAATATTTTATTTTTTTTCTTTTTGAGTTAATAATTTCATGGATAGTCAGTAGATGATTTGTTGGTTTGATATCATAATTTATATCAATAACATTACAAATATTTTATATTTCTATGTAATCTTATAATTTACATGATAGTGCAATATATGGCTCATTGGTTTATCATAATTTATAACAATGCAGATTATAATAGTTTGATTCTTTATAATCTAGTATTTTACATGTCAACTCAACAAATGACCTGCTTGCTTCAGTGCTACTATCGTGCGCCCTGGCACACCTAGCAAGATGTGTCAATGCAATTTAAAATGAACATTTTACACAATAAAATGAAGGGTCAAAATCTTTTTCACCCCATTATATATCTATTCTTTCTTTTTCACACCACCCCGTCAAATAACTTCTTTTACACCCCAAAATTCACGGAATGCTATGCGATATTGCACTCGCA